TGTCACACAATTCCTGCATATTCCATTCTTGTGATTTCTTAAATTTTTCATGATCTTTGCTTGAGTGGTCTAGCTCGTCCACATTATCTTCCAGCCTTGCTACTCTGTTTTCCATTTCATTCATCCTATTGGTGAGGCTTTGTCCTGTCATTTCTAATTGGCTTACTGAGTGTTTCACTTCCTTCTTCATTTCAGCCTGAGTATTCTTCAATATTTCTAACTTTTATGAATTCATTCAGAAGTTTATCCCTATCTTCCTTCAGTTCTTTGATTTCTTTGTGTGTTCTTTAAATTCATTGAATTTTTATCATATTTATAATTGCTCTTTTGAGTTCCTCATCTTGCATTATCTCTAGGGGCTTCTCATTGTACTCCTCTAGAGGACTATTGGTAGTTGGTGGGGATATGTTATTTTGGTTTTTCATGTTATTGTTTTTTCTCTTGATTTTGACATGTGAATTTCTTTTGTAGTTTCTGATTCTTGTGTAAGACTCAAGTCTTCAAGTTTAGGTCTGCTTCTTTTTGTGAACTTTATGTGTCTTTGTGGTTTACTTTTTGGGCATGAAAAGCTGGTTTGTCTAAGCTTCTGGTTCTCTCTTTTGATTTTATATTGGAGTGGTCAGATTGCTTTTGTCTTTGGGAGTTCCCACAGAGGCGCAAGTCAGATGAGGATCAGATGATCTCGGGCTTTCTCCTAAGCTCTGGATCCCTCCAGAAAAGATGTCCTCAGGAATTTGGGGGTTGGACTGGCCTGGAGCCTGGCCCAGGAAAGATGCTGGTCTAAGGCAGCTCATGGCCATGCCACCCAGAGATGCAAAGGAAGATGGGGGCAGGAGGTGGCCCCAAGGGTTCCTGGGGACTGCACTGAGGAGCTGGGTTGGTCTGGATGCAAAGGACCAAAAAGAGGAAAGGTCAGCCCCAGCATAGAGAAAAGAGGCTGGCCGGTTGTGCAGACCCAGGGAAGCAGAGGGAGGTGAGGGCGGGACCAGGTCCAGAGGGCTCCTGGGGACTCAAGAAGGAACTGAGTTGGTCTGGATGCAAAGGATCAGGAAGTAGTGATGGTTCCCATGGTGTCTGGAGCACCAAGACAAGGAATGGGACAGGACCCAGGCTAGGTGGAGAGACCAGCGGGGGAGATGGGAGGGTGAATGAGCCTGGGGGAGTCAAGGCACAGAGGGCACAATCCACTTACCCCAGAGAGAATCCTGCGCATAGGAGAGAGGCCTGCGGTACATGCAGGCCCAGGCTAGATGTATCGTTTACCCAAACGGTCATTGTTGGCTGGATTGACTTTGAGTTTAGGTAGTTATCTAATAAAAACTTACTAGATCAAGTCCTTTGGTGCAGCACATTTGTTTTTCACTAATTTTATTGATCAAAGCTCTGTGTACAGAACACAGTACTACAGACTGGGCAGGTGATAAAGATGAGTTTATTTTGGTTCATAATTCTTGGTCCAAGGTCCAGAGGCCATATCTGGTGACAGCCTGCTTGTTGGCAGAGTCCTAAAGTAACACAGGTGTCAAGAGAGGGAAAGCATCTCTGTGTGTCCTGGTCTGTCTCCTGATAAAGTCAGCAGGATTCAATCATGGATCTCCCAACTTGATGGCCTTATCTTCCAATGGCCCCACCTCTAAATACCATAATCAGATTAAGTTTCTACTCTCTTAAGAATTCAGGAGTAGAATTAAACTCTAAAATGAATTTTAGAAAAGATAAACTGAGAGCTGACAGCATGTCATCTGGTTACCATTGTCTCTTCTTGGCAGGATTGCTGGAAAAAATCCTTCCTATGAGTGGGCTTGAAAATCATTAATATTCAGAGCTGGCGAGATGGCTCAGTGATTAAGGGCTCTGACTGCTCTTGTAGAGGACCCAGGTTCCATTTCCAGCACCCACATGGCAGCTAATAGCTGTCCCTAACTCCAGTTCCAGGGGACCCGATGCCCTCTTCTGACCTCCGCGGGCATTGCATGACATAAGTGCACTTACATACATGCAGGCAACACACTCATGCACATAAAGTAAAAACAATAAAAAAACGTTTTTTTTTTTAAAATCCTAATATTCCTTTTTGCATGTATGAGGCATTTATAAATTGCCAATATGTCATCTTCTCTCCCCAGGCCTTCAGCATTGTCTTCCAGAAGGCTGTGGAGAGGGCCGCTCCTGGTGAAAACCTCAAAGAACGAGTGACCAATCTAATAGACAGCATAACCTTCTCAGTGTACCAGTATACCACACGTGGGCTCTTTGAGTGTGATAAGCTAACCTACCTTGCCCAGCTCACCTTTCAGGTAAAAGCAAATTGAAAGCCTCTCCAGAAGACCAGTTATATTTAGCATCAAATCAGCAAATGTCAAGAAACTTTTCTCTTTGGTTTTTTTTTAAAAGTATGCACAGGTTTGTAAGTAGAAGTGTCAGAAAAGTGAAAACAGTGCACGTGTGTTGACCCATCATTTCCAATTCATGACCAGAACGCTTAATTAACCATTGTTCCACTCAGGATAGACATCCTTAATCAATTGTTGCACTTTTTCTTGATGATCCTCTATAATCTAAGATCCTTCTCAAAATGTCACTCCAGCAGCCACTATCAGTCAGAATTGGCACTCAAGATGAACTAGATGACTGTACAAATACCTAGATGGTTTCCAAACACCATAAGAACTTCAATTACATCAAGATTTATCTACCTTCAGATTCCAAGTTAACTGCCCAAACCTTCCCCTGAGCTAAGAAATCATACAAGACTTTGTATAGCTATAGCATTCCAACAGCTGTGATTCTTAAGGACTTGGAAACATTGTGGACTTCCAATGTCACTGCATCATTAAGAAGAAACCTTGATCTGCCATTTAATCTCAATCTCAGAAAGGCCATAGAACTTTACTTCTTTGTATTTACCCTCTTAATGACTTAGAATAGGTATTTTTTTCAGTGAATAAATTGGTAGTACAGGCTATATAATCTCAAAGGCCCTCTCTAATGCTGGAAGTCAGATATTCAGTCATATGCTTGTTCTGTTTGCACATTCCTATGCCTGAGTTCAAGATGAGTACTAGCTTACCCACTTGCCCTCCATATTCCCAGCTGCAGCCCAGATGACAGCTTGACCTTCACAGACAAACTTGGGCCCCACCTCTCATAGTTAAGCCAAAGGCTTTCCCTCAGGTGCACACACCTCTCTAAGTGCCCTTCCATGCCTCCATACCTTCAATGCCCCTTCCCTGGAAAATTCTCCCTTCCTATCTAAATATTCCTATTTAATAGCTGTCCTAGTTTGTTTCTTCATTGCTGTGACAAAATACTCTGACCAATACCAACTTGGGGGGGGGGAAGGGTTTATTTAGCTTACATCTCCCAGGTCACAGTTCATCAGGGAGCCCAAGGTAGGAACTCAGGGCAGGAACCTGGAGGCAGGAGCTGGAACATAGCCCATAGAGGAATGCTGCTTACTGGCTTGCTCCCCTGGCCCCTGCTTAGCCTGCTTTCTTATCCAACACAGGCCCACCTGCCCAGGGGTAGCACCACCCACAGTGGGCTGGGCCCTCCCACATCACTCAGCAATCAAAAAGATGCCCCATGGACATGGCCACAGGCCAGCCCAATGAAGGAAATTCCCCAATTGAGGTTCCCTCAACCGAGGTGTGTCAAGTTGACACTAAAGCTATCCAGCACAGATGGCTCAGTGACACTAAAGCTATCCAGCACAATTGACCCCTTCTCAACTTGACACACAAACACATCACTGTTAAACTATAACCTTTCCAATTCTTGTCCCCAAGACACAATATTAACATTAATATCACAACATAAGGCAGTTCAACCTTAAAAGCCCCACAGTCCTTAAAAAATCCAAACACTTAGAAGTCCATAATCTCAAGTCTCTTAAGTGTGGGCTTCTGTAAAATCCAAGACAAGTTCTGTCTTATTTCAAAGGGAAGAATCGAGCACACCTAAACAAAACTAAAGTCCAGCAAAGTAGCTCAAGGCTGGACATCTGGGATTCACTCACAATCTTCTGGGCTCCGAAGGGTTCTGGCAGCTCCACTTCTCTGACTCTGCCATCCACAGCACACACAGCACATCTCACAGACACAGGCCAGCTCCATTCCACACTTACCGCTGTCTTTGGTAGTTGTCCCATGGTCCTGGCATCTCCAAAAAGGTGGGTTCTCCACTGAAACTGAGACCACACCCTCACCAATGGCCTCTTCTTGCCTCTTGGGGTGCAAAGCCTCAGATTCTCTCCATGACTCCTTCAATCCTGGGGTCTTCACTGCAACTGAAGCTGCACTTTCACCTATGGCCTTTCCTGGCCTCTCATAGTGCCAAGCCTCAGCTGCTCTCTGTGACCCCTTCATGCTTTCAATACCAGAACCATGCAGGAGACTCTTACACATTACCAAGTCCTGCTTCCAGCTTGAGATGGAGGCTTGGGTCCCCTCTGTGTGCTGACCCTGAGGAAATACCTCCCAGAAGATTTCACCTCAGTGATGCTGGTCTCTTGTTACTTACAGCTGATTCTTCAGCCCCAGCTGACCAGAACCCACATATTCTCAATCCAAAATCTCACACGAACAGCTCTGATAGTCTCTGCTTCACAAGCCAGGCCTCCATCATCCACAACTCTTTCAACATAACTGTTCCAAGCTCCACAGCAACAAACTCTAAGCACTCAATGGCTTTTCCAACCCAAAGTTCAGAACACTTCCACAATCCTTCTAAAAATACCAAGGTCAGGTCTGTTACTGCAATATCCCACTCTCTGGTACCAATTTCTGTCCTGGTTTGTTTCTTCACTGCTGTGACAAAATACTCTGACCGATACCCACTTGAGGAAGAAAGGGTTTATTTAGCTTACATCTCCCAGGTCACAGTTCATCAGGGAGCCCAAGGTAGGAACTCAGGACAGAAACCTGGAGGCAGGAGCTGGAGAACAGGCCATTGAAGAAAGCTGCTTATTGGCTTGCTCCCCAGGCCCCTGCTCAGCCTGCTTTCTTATGCAACATAGGCCCACCTGCCCAGAGATAGTACCACCCACAGTGGGCTGGACCCTCCCACATCATTCAGGAATCAAGAAGGTGCCCCATGGGCAAGGCCATAGGCCAGTCCAATGAAGGCAATTCCCCAATCGAGGGTCCCTCAACTCAGGAATGACAAGTTGACACTAAAGCTATCCAGCACAAGGGCCTCCCTAAAATCCAACTCAAAGCTACTTATATAAAGTTCAGCTGAATGAATCCCTTCTCCTGCTTGCTAGTCCCTCCTCTACTCCAGAGCCCCTTCCACATTATTGATTTATATATGCATTTCTATTTTGCATATATTCATATGTCGCTTTGACACTTTCCTCAAATCATGTCATTTGTATGTGTCATCTGCTCAATTAAATTGCAGGCACATACTCCATGGCACTTATGATTGATATAAAATACTTGCTAACCAAGAAATATAGTCTTCCACTGTGTGCATTTAAGTCACTTTGATGTTTGGGCTGAAAACAGATGCACACAGAAGAAATTTGCATAAATATACACTTCCAATCCTCCTTCTTTAAACAGCCAAAATTGATGGGCAAGCTCTGGAGTTAGAGGCAGCAGTAATTACACTGAGTGACAGTCCCTAAGATCTCTAGGATCCTGTGACCACAACTAAAGAAACACAGTACATTTTTTTGTGTTGCAGATCCTCCTCATGAACCAGGAAGTCAATGTAGCAGAGTTGGATTTCCTGCTTCGATCTCCGGTGCAGACAGGAATACCCAGCCCAGTGGAGTTCCTCTCCCACCAAGCCTGGGGAGGCATCAAGGTCAGTAGCAGCCCCTGGAAAAAAAGTCAAGTTATTTTAGAGATTTTACTGACACATATCCTCACGGCATCAGTGGAGCTGTGTTGGAGTTGAAGCATGGAGCTGTGCTGAACATAGGTGTGCTCCCTTCCTTGTATTCCCACAGCAATCTCATCCTTCCCAAGCCTGCAGAGAAGAAGCAGGTACATTCTGGGGTGAGGAATCTCCCTTTAGTGTGAGAGGAAACTGAAGTCTCAATGACCTTTTTTCAGTCAGTTAAGCCGCCTTTCACCGGCCAAGGCTCAAGGCTGGAATCTGAGCTACTCCGTGAATCCCTAGACTGATGTGAATATTCTGCCACATCATTTAGAGAAGTCAGGCAGGTGCTCAGTCTCTGATATGCAGCTCCATGTCCATCTTAACTGCAAGTCCAAGCAAAGGTTCTTCCAGCCTGGGACCATCAGCATTTAAGAATAGCTCATATTTATTGTGTTCCTTGGAAAAGCACTATCATTTCATTCTCTTGCCCATCTGGGCAATAGGTATTATTTGTTTCCTTTTAACATGGGCACATGAAACAGAGGTACCACTACTAACAAGTAGCAAATCTGCTAGGCATGGTGGCACATACCTTTTTAATCCCAGCATTTGATCTGTGAGATTAAGACTAGCCTGGTCTACATAGTGAGTTCCAGGCCAGCTGAGGATACAGGGAGGAAAAAAAAAGTAGCACATCCAAATCCAGGAGACAAATCTATATTGTGTGCAGCTTAATCAGTCTAGTTAGGATTTTATGAATGTTGAAAAGATCACAAACTACAAAATTCTTTCAGTAGGGATGTTGTCCAAACACAGAGCCTGACCCGATGTCTGGTAGGAAACAAGGGCTGACTGACTCCCTGCTTCAAAGGATCCAGGCATGCTCTCTATGCAGCCAGCTATCCAGTCCATACCCAAGTGGGTACACATGAATAGCATCTGCATAAGATGAATTCTGTTTATGACCTTCCATGTTTGTTTTTACATTTTACAAATGCTTAATAGCATGAAAAGGTGTGCATCTAAAGTAATATCGTTGGCTTTCTCTGTATTTCTTACTCTTTTTTATCTTAAGATAATTGTGGATTCACAAGCAATTATAAGAAAAGATACAAACATCTCTTGTACTCTGTGCCACTTAAAGCTGTCTTACCACAACAGCCAGAAAACTGACATTGAGATGGTCCACCAATATTCCTCTGACTTGACCAGTCCTAAATGTACTTGTGTATGCATGTGATGTATGTGCATGTGTGTGTTTAGTTTTATCATATGCATTCTTAGATATTTTGTAAAGTTATGGTTTTGGTTGCTGTTGTTTTTTGTTGCTATGCTTTATTTCTTTGTCAATATGTTTTTCCTCTTCTCATTTACAAGGTTGGGCATGTGTAGACTGAAGTAATCATTACAGTCAAGATTCAGAAGGTTCCATCATCCCAAAGACTCCTACCGTACCCCCCAATCCTCAGAAACAACAACCTGTTCTCCATTTGTAGAATACTTGGCACCTTAAAGATGTTATATAAATGGAAATTGGCCCATTCACTTAACCTAATTCCTTTAAGGTTAATCCAAACCAATTTACTTATAACAAAAGCCCAGAATGCAATAATTTGCATGCATGTTGCCCCCATAAAAGTATTCATCTTGGGAAATTCAAGGCTAAGTCCATTAATGCTACCATTGTTTAAGAACTTTCCTAACTTCTACTTCAGAGTCTCTACTGTTCAGTTACAGTCTTTTAGGACTATATTTTTATTAGCTACCTTTCCCAGTGGTGCTATAAAATACCTAGCCAAAGCAACTTAAGGAAGAAAGGATCACTCAGTCATGGTGGGGAAGTCATGGAAGCAGGAGCTTGAGGCAGTTGGTCACACTGCATCCAGAGTCAATAAGCAGAGAGAGGTGGATGTTGATCAGTTCACTTCTTATTTCAGAACCCAACCCACAGAATAGAGATGTTCAACTTTAAGGTGGGTTTTCACATCTCAGTAACCCAATCTAGAAACTCCCTCACAAATATATATCCAGAGGATGGTTTCCATGGCGATTTTATATTTCATGAAGTTGACAATCAAGATTAACCATTACAACACTAGCCCTTGTCAACTAGACACCCAAATATACCACTTTTAAGCCATAATCCTCCACTCCTTTGTCCCCATAAACTCTTGGTCATCAAATAATGCAAAATATGTTCAGTCCCTCTCTGAAAGTCCCCATATTCTCCAACCGTCCTAATGCTGTTTAAAAAGTGTAAGTGTAGTCAGGCGTGGTGTAGGTCTCTTAGGAATCACAGAATCTCTTAACTATAAGATCCTATAAAATAAAAATAAGTTACATACTTCCAACATACAATGTCAAAGAGTAAATATCCACATCCCAAAAGGACAAATGGCAACATAGCAAAAAGATGATCTAGTCAAAGCAAGGCCAAAACCCATTGAGGAAAACACAGAATTTTGTAGCTCCATGTCTAAAAGCTGGGGCTTGTGATGGAATCATCTATACTCCAAAGGACTTGTGTATCCCCACCTCTGCAGATCAAAATAGTATCCTTTAAATATGCAGTTGTTACAAAATTATTGTGTTATCTTTCTGTCACTGTGACAAACTATCTAAGGTCATAACTTAAAAGAGGGAAATACTAAGGGCTGATGGTGTCTCTCAGTGGCAGAGCACCTGTGTGGTTTGTGCAAGGCCCAGGGTTGCATACCCAGCACTGGGGGAAAACCTTAAAAGGATGAAATGTCTGTTTTGCTCACAGTTTCAGAGGTTTTAGTTCATGCCTTCTTGGCCCTTTCATTTTTATTTTTTTGTTTTGCTTTGTATTTATTTATGAAGCTAGCATACAAAGTCATGGGTTTCATTATGGCATTTCCATGCATATTTGGTCTTTTTGAGACAGGGTCTCTCTGTAGTCCCAGATGGCCTGGAGCTTGCTATGTAGACCAGGCTAGCCTTGAACTCACAGAGAGCCACCTGCCTCTGCCTCCCAAGTTCAGGGATTAAAGGTGTGTGCCACCATGCCTGGCTTAGTATTTATTAAGATAGGATCTCACGTTGAAGTCCAGTGTACTGGGTAGCATCAGTTGTCAATTTGACACACATGGGAAGAGGGAACCTCAACCCGGAAATTACTTCTATCAGACTGGCCTGTGAACATGTTTGTGAGGCATTTCTTTTTATATTGTTGAGTGATGTGAGAGGGTCCAGCCCACCGTGGATGGTGCTACTCCTGGGCAGGTGGCCCTGGGTTATATAAGAAAGCAGGCTGAGGACTGGAGAGATGGCTCAGCAGTTAAGACCACTGACTGTTCTTGTAGAGGACCCAGATTCAATTCCTAGCACCCATTTGGTGGCTAACAACCATCCCTAACTCCAGTTCTAGGGGATCCAGCTCTTTCTTCTGACCTCCTCAGGCATTGCATGACACAGGCACAATTCACATGCAGGAAATACACTCATACACATAATTTTTTTTTAAAAAAAGAGAGAAAGCAGGCTGAGCACAGGCCAGAGGAGCAAGTGAGTAAGCAGCATTATGGTCTCTGTTTCAGTTCCTGCCTCCAGGCTCCTGCCTTGGCTTCCCTCCATGATGGACTGTAAGCCTTAAGGCATAATAAACCCTATCCTCCCCCAACTTGCTTTTAGTCAGTGTTTTATAACAGTAATAGAAAGTAACTAGGACACCCAGACTAGCCTCGAACTCTTGAGCCTTCTGCCTCAGCCTCCAGAGTGCCGGGATTACAGGAATACATGTCGGTTCCCAAAAGCCCCATTGTTTTGGAGCCTGTGGCAAGGATTACTTCATATGAGGGAGAAAAACTGCTCACCTCACAACAGCCAATTGTTGTCCCCCACCTTCGGCTGGAACCTTGCTGCTACCTCGGCAGGCCGTTGCCCACCAGCCCCCATCATGGAATGTCTGGGTGAGGAGAGACACTGATGCAGGAGGGAGGCTTCAGGCCGCAGTGAGTACACAGGAAGAAAACACCCGGGAGACTGTGTCAGGGGACAGCTCGTTTATCATGGCAGAAGCAGAGGTTTATATAGGAAAGCTTCGCAGCCGAAGAGGTGGGGGTTGGGTTTTCTGGCAGGCCAGCAGGTAGGGGGAGGGAGGGGGCTACTAAGGCTATGTGGCCTTTGTCCTGTCCTCTGGTCACATAATATACAAGGGACCTGGTTAGGATTAAAGGATTAGAGGCTTAATGGTTTTGCTTGGGGGTTGTTGGGTAAGAGACAGTGTCACTAGAATGGACCAGGCCAGCTTCCAGCCGCCCTCACAGGTATCTGGCCTGGTGGCCATGCTCTACATTCCAGGCACTTTCTACTTATCCCAACAGCCAGTAAACAAAGAGACAGAGAAGACAAGGCTGTGGTGCCACCATCCCCTTCAGGGCATGCCTTCAGTGTTCTTTCTACTGGGCCCTGCCTCCTAAAGTTTCTGCCATCTCCCAAGCTCCACGGGTTGGCAACCAAATCTTTAATATATAAGTCTTTGGAGGACATTAAGTTTCCAAACCATTAGTAATTATTAATAAGATATTTTGTACTTTTGTATTATCTTTGAAACCTGATGCATAGTTTATACACATATACTCAACTCACATATTAATTTTTCATCCAAAATATTTGTAGATTTCATAAATTATTGTTGAAACAGTTGACTCATATACCCAGGTGGTTCCAAATATCCTTAAGTTTTCTAATCATTAATAAGTTCCAGTTTCTGCACTTAAATTTTAAAATCATTCAAATCAAATACAATTGAAAAATTAAGTCTCTGAGCCAGGCAAGTGGCATGTGCCTCTCTGTATATCCCAGCTACTCAAGGTGAGAGGATCTCTTGAGTTCAGGAGGTCAAGGCCAACCTCAGAAATATAGAGAGACCTCTCTTTAAAGCAAAAAAATCAGTCCTTCAGTCACACTACCCATATTTCAAGTTCTCAATAGTCCCCCATGGTCAGTGGCTACCTTGTTGAACAGTGTGGCTTGAAAATCATGACTCAGTCTGCTGCCCTTATGGAAAACATGTTCTGAAAGGGATTTTGAATGAATCTATATTTGGAACAAGAGCAGTGATGGAGCCAGTCATACCTGGGTTCAAGTATGTGTGTGTGGCCTCTGGCCTGTTATCTAACTCTTCTGGGCTTGTATTTCCTTATCTGTAACATCTTTCTGAAGGATATGTCACAAAGTAAACATTCAGTAGACAGAAGCTGCTGCCAGTGGTGGTGGTGGTGGTATTTGTTTCACAGGCTGCTATAGTAAAGCACAGGAAGCTGAGTAGCTTAAAATGGCAAAGTGTACCCCTGTCACAGTTGTGAAGCCTAGAAATCTGAAATGACAGCAGAACCAGGCTCCCTCCAAATCCTCTGGGCAGCTTGCTTCCTTGGCTTGTCCAGCATCCAGCAACCTCTGGCATTCCTTCATTAGGGGCCTGTAGATTCAGGGTCAGTCTCCAACTTTACAGCACAAAGCTGTCTGTATGTCTCAGTGTCCTTCTTCTAAGGGCACTAGTCACAGTGGATGAGAACCTACCCTAGTTAAATCACTAAACTGATTACATCTACAAAGATCCCTATCTCCCAATAAGAACAAATTAAACAGTGCAAGAGGTTAGTTCTTCAAAATATCTTTTGAAGGACACAATTTGCCCCATAATAATCCTGTTTATCAGTCGCCCCATTATAAGAGGCATATATGCCGTGGTTGATACAGGTCTGCCTAATTGAATGTGTCCACAGCAAGAAAAACTTTCCGGCACTGTGAGCTGCTCAGCTGGGTCAAGTCTCCAGTTGACTTTCTCTGTATTATATACCACAAAGCCCTCCATAGCAAAAGTGAAGAAGGAGTGATTCACAGGCCTCCGTCTGGCATAGCTCAACTCCAGCTATTGTGCAGTTCCTCTCCTCTTTTCACAGAACTCATTGTTGGCTTGGCCTGGCTTCACTTCACTCTGCTTTTTTGTTTTGTTTTGTGGGCTGAGCTCATCTGGCTGTTTAAAGTCTTTTGCAAATGAGCAAAGCTTTATCTCTATATGAGTTTGTTGTGTGGAGCAGCAAATCCAGATCCATCAAACTTGAGCGTAGCCTGGGATGTGCACAGGTGAGGCACAAAGTAGAACATGGTACACATCTCAGAAGCCTTTGATAAATGCTTTTAAAGTGTTCACTTGGATTTTAGTCTAAAGAAACAAACTAAGTATAATTGAATAGGACATGATAAAAAAAATTTAAAGGATTCTATCTAATGAGGAAGGTTGATTGCCTTGCTTCCTTCCCCAGAATAACTAATAAGCGGGTAATGAATGACAGTTCTGTGATAAAATCCTGATTTTATTGTTATCCTTTGTAAGGATTTTTTTCAGTCCCATCAAATGCTGAACTTTCAGGTAATGGGCATGTTCTGCTCTTCATTAGAAAATCTCATCTGTGATGAATTTCTTTGTTCGCCTTTGAAAAGGCCCCTCACTGCACTCTGGTTGCCAATTTAGTGCAGTTGTATTTTGCTGCACAGTCCAAAGTAATTAGGTTAATTAGTCATTTCCATTTAGCTTATTAGAAGGCTAGAAATCCCTTTCTCTCATTTGGGAGATTAAATGTTGCAATTGTGTTCACTGCAGACCTTGAAGAAGGTGGTTTCAGACCAGTCCCGGCAGCTGGGAGTGCGTGCGGGTCGTGGTGTAATTTGTTCCGTTTTGTGAGGATGCCAGAGGGGGTAATAAGACTAGGAAGGGTTAATGACGGTGCAAGCTGGGAAGAGAGTGTAGTGGCTGCCTGGGCAAAGATGAAATCCGGTTCCTTGCAGAGGGAAATAATGACAGCAGCTGCATTTTTTCCCTCAGCCTGGCAGGGGCTTTCTTGCTTGCCACACAGATGTCAAATTTTATTAATTGAACATGTCCTAAGTGCTGCTTGTGCCTAGGGAAACTCTTGCCCACAGGGAGCTCACAATCTTGTGCGAATAAGAGACAAGTAATCCAGCAGTTGAAATTCAGTGAGCGTCAAGCCCCCCCGCCCCAGAAAGACCAGGGGGCTTCACAGTATTTAAAGTACCATGTCTATACTAGAGTAGGAGTTACGACAATCACTTGGCCTCATTTTCTGCATGAACAAACCAAAGCCCAAGAGGGTTTAAAGGCAGGCTTCAAATCCAATGGGTGGTAAACAGTGGTGCCGAAAGCAGACCTTGTCTCCCTGTGCTCTTCCACCTTTCCCCGTAGCATCACAGACTTAACACAAATGTAGGCATTCCTTGTTCTGTGTAGTCAGCGTAGAATTGGGAAGCCGCAGAACCCGTGTAAAAGGATGTGTGCTCATCCCCACAGAAGAGTGCAGGCACACCCAGGTCAGCTGTCCCTGTCTTTCTACGGCCTTCCTTTGCCCTTGTTCCCAGGAAGCCTTCTCTCCTCATGCTTCTCTCCATCACGCTTCTCCCTGGCCTATCCTACCCTCTGGACTCTGTGCTTACCTAACAGAATTCTGCATGTCTTCCCAAGACCTCCCTCATCTACTTTCTCTTTAACTTAGGACTGTAGATTCCTTGAAGGTAGGTGTCTTTTTTGTTTGATTGGAGAGGGGGAGTGCTGTTCTTGTTGTTGTTAACCATTGTATTCTGATGTCCTTAGTATATAGTAAGCATTTGATATGTACTGAAAAAAATGGATGCATGAATGAATGGATGGATTATACATGAATGAATTCAAATTATAAGAATTTTTTGAGCTTCTTAAAACCCATTGCATTACAGCAGGTGCTTTAGACCCTCAGTCTACTGTTGGAAAAACCAAACATACAGGCAGAGCTGAATAACAACCTGCAAATTACTGTCTTAAGTGGGTGATGTTTTTGTTGGATCTCTACTATATTCATTTGCTTTTTGTCATTATAATGAAATGCCTAACAGAAAAACTTACAGTGGAAGTATTTCTTTTGACTCATAGTTTCAGAGAGCTCAGTCCATCCTTGTAGGGAAGGTCTGAAGGGCAGTTCTGCTTATCTCATGGTGGACTAGGAAGTAGAGAGCTTCAAGACAGGAAGTGATCAGGGATAATATATGCACAATGACCTAGCCCCACCCCCCAAGCGACTTACATCCTCCAGCTAGGCCTTACTTCTCAAGGTTCCACAACCCCCTAAGATAGCACTACAGTCTGGGGACCAAGTATTCAAAACATGAGCCATATTTAAACCTTGACACTCATCCACCCAAAATTTGGTTTCAATATCAAGACTGATGGCACCACATACATACCAAGACAGTGTGATAAAGTTTACTACTCCAGCAATGAGGCCTTCAGGAAGGAGCAAGGGAGCTGCCAAGCAGTACGAAAATGGCTTGAGAACTACCTCAGCATGTGTATGGCAGTTATAAGTGGCCCAGGATAACAGCTCCTGTGTATGGACAGAGATTCTGTGGTAAATGTTCCCTCCAGCTTCAGAGGAAGGAGCACTCGGAATTACTCCCCAGCCTTTTCAAGTACGAGGCAGAAGAAGGAGGGATAAGATGTAAGCTATCATCAATCAAACACCTAAAAGTTGAGAGATTATTTTTTGAAGGTTTCAGCCCTGTGAGTAGCCATAGGTGTTCCACAAAGGTGTAAGGGCAGCATGTTCTAGATTACAGAGGATTTGCCTGTGAGAGTTTTCTGACCTTGAACTAGACTTTGACAACTTGTAGAAACTTAACAAATAATAAGCATTAGAAATGAGTCAGGCACACACCTAAGGTTAGAGCAAGAAAACTCAGAGCGAGAGAGCACAAGATACCTGCAAAACTGGACAGTTTGGAGAAACTATGTGAAGAAACCGTTTCCTGAGTTCTGTATTTGAACTTAATGCTCATAGAACAGGCAACCCATGGAAATGTTGAGAGTTGGCATTAATACAGGGTCAGGGACTACACAAACATTTTGAGAAAACAGGCAGGGTTTGGTGACATGATGAGTGTAAGAATGTGAGGAAGATTCCCTGACTTGGGTGTTGGGGCTCCATGATCAGAATAACCACAGCACCCATTCTTGACCCCCTGCCTTTGTAAATGCATACAGTTTGATGTGGCTTGATCTCTGCTGTTAATAGCATCCCAAACATTTCATTTGCAACCATTGCATGGTAGTGGGAGGCAGTGTGCTGAACTTGTTGCTATCCTTTCTTGACTTTTTCTAGAGGAATCTAAGGCCCTAGACCAGATTATAAATGAGACTGACTTGTGTATAGAACACCACTTGCTTCTCAAACTCCCAATGTAGAGCAAATGATAGCTTTCAAGAGAAACTGTATTTTAGAAAGACATTCTCTGAAATTTTCCCAGGCACTTTCATCAATGGAAGAATTCTGCAATCTGGATCGAGATATTGAGGGATCTGCCAAGAGCTGGAAAAAGTTTGTGGAGTCCGAGTGTCCCGAGAAGGAGAAGTTCCCCCAGGAGTGGAAAAACAAGACAGCTCTGCAGCGCCTCTGCATGATGAGGGCCATGCGGCCTGACCGGATGACCTATGCCATGCGGTAGGAGGCAGGGCATGATGAGAGGCCCACCCAGGGCAGTCTCTCAGGAAGGCTAGCCTGATAGGGCTGAATTTCAAGGCCATGTTCATATAGTAATACACACTTGTACCTACACTAAAACCCATGAGGTCATTTGCCCTAGGTGTGCCCTCTGTTTACTTCATATCTTAGCGGACTGTTTGGGAGGAGATGATCTTTGATATCAGCATTTGGAAAAGATGCTCATCGCCTTTAATGTGAGGGATGACGGGATGACTGTGGGACCCAGGAAATACACAGAGATTCCATTCTTAGCCTCATAGAAGCAAGGCAAGTGGTATGACTCTTAGATGATAGATGAATAGCAGAGAATCGAGAAGGATTTTATCTTGTCTTTGACTTCTCGCTTCTTTGAGAAGTAGGAAGATCATCAATTGGATTTATGTGCAGGAGAGGACAGCAAGATTGAATATTTGAAGAGAAAGAGAAGTTTTGAAAAGGATTTGTAACAGAGGAGATTACTCAGAGGGTACAGTGCTTGCCTCACAAATTCAAGAACCAGTGTTCAGAACCCACAGAAAAGCAGGATGGGTGTAGCTGCTCACCTAAAATCTCAGTGCATGGGAGACATGCACCTGTGTATACATGTGTTCCCACATACATGTGAATATGCAGACACACCACATGCATACACCACTTGCAAAAAAGAAAGAAAAGGGGCCTGTGAAAACATGAGAAAGAAGGGGATGGAGACAGCTCAGTTGGTGCAGTGCTTGCCTAGCATGCATGAAGCTATGAGTTAGATCCACAGCATCACATAAGCTGGGCATGATGGCACATGCCTGTATTCCCAGCATTCAGGAGGTAGAGGCAGGAGGATCATCAGAAATTTAAGGTCATCCTGTGCCACAAAGCAAGTTTGAAGTCAGTCTAGGATGCATGAGATCCTGGCTTGAAAGAAAGCAGGAGCGAAGGAGATAAAAGCAAGGCAGGCAGGGAGGGAAGGAGGGAGGGAGGGAGGAAGGGAGGGAGGGAGGGAAGAGAAAAAAGATATGGGGAAAAAAGCCAGGGAGGGAAACTCAAAGAATCCCAATGGCACCAAGGGCCTTCCTAGATAAGGCTACAGTTTTGGTGGCATTGGATGTTGCCATTGGATGGTTTTCCCCAGAAGCCCAGGTGTAGAGTCAGAGGTACATGGTTCCCAAGCTCTAAAATTCCAGTCATTTCAAATCAGTAAACTAAGAGTTGGGCAAGGGAGGTGAGGACATTGGCAAGAAAATGATTAGGAGTCAAAAGCTATGGAAGCTACAGAGGCAGAAAGCAGGTTAGAAGCTGCCTGAGAATCACCTGAATTGTGAGAACTCTCACTGGTACAGTGAAAGTGTTCTAACACTGGACTATCCTGAAGATTGTACAACTTGGCAAATTTATTTTAAAATCATTGGGTAATACACTTAAAATTAGTGAATCATGTGGTATGTTTATTATATCTCAACAAATTACTTTGAAAAAATAATTAAGGGACATGAAATCTACACTAGATAGGAAAGAAATGAGGAAAGGAATAAGGAATGGGATGTCATAAAACATCAGAAGGGCTAAGAGACTGAAATTCTTGCATTTGTATTGATACTCATACAGGCAAAGAACAGGTACAGATACAGCAGAACAGGTACAGATACAGCAGAACAGGTACAGATACAGCAGAACAGGTACAGATACAGCAGAGTAGGTACAGATACAGCAGAACAGGTACAGATACAGCAGAACAGGTACAGATACAGCAGAGTAGGTACAGATACAGCAGAACAGGTACAGATACAGGAGAACAGGTACAGATACAGCAGAACAGGTACAGATACAGGAGAGTAGGTACAGATACAGCAGAACAGGTACAGATACAGCAGAACTGGTACAGGCACAGTACCAACAAACTAAGGATAGAAGATTTTGGTCAGAGAATGAGATGTTTCAGACACAGGAAAAAAAAAACCCAAATCATGACATGGATTGAAGAACGGCCACAAGACTGGGTGGATGAAAGGGGCAAGAAATGAAAATCACTTGACTTGAGGTCACTACGGGTAAAGAGGACTGTCCACATGGGTGCTGATGTCACCCAGGGTTCAGGAGAGTCCATGAGCCAAGGGCACAAGTGTTGAGAGAATGGTCCACAGATGGCAGCAGTGCATGGCTAGTGCTGATACTCCCAGGAGCTGTGAGTCTTGGTGGAGCCACATATGGGAAGGAAGGATTTGAAGAAAACCATTGGACAGTGAGTGTGACGCAGTCACCACCCATACTGAGGAGGATGAGCCCAGTCAAGAGTGATGCAAGGGAATCAGTGTCTTGGGGGATAGTGGAAGGCTCCATGACCATCAGGAGATTGACCAGACATCCAGTCAGTAGTTGCAACTAGAAAGATTTGTTTAGTACAAAAGGCTACTTTGTAAAAAAGCACTAGGGGAGTGAGATGGAAGAAATCCAGCAAATAATAGAACGTGAGAGAGTAGAGTCTTGTAAGGCCTTAGGTCTTAGACAGGGTGGCATATCGCAGGAAAAGTGGGGCAGATTTGGCTGCCTGTACGCATTCAAAGAAGCTGATCCTAATGTTCTCCAGAAAGAGGTGATGATGGGAGAGTGTCCCAGCTCTACAGAAGGAGCTAACAGTGGACCAAGTAGACAGTGGCTAGGAGCCCTGATCTAGGTGTGCTAGCAACACAGACCAAGTTAACAAGTTGTGATCTTGGAGCCAGTCCTCACTCTATTATTATCTAGCCCATGACCTTGAACATGTCCTTTCCCGAAGTCTCCATTTCTCAGATATTAGGATTTTTGGACTGATAGACATATATATATCTCTTTCTACAGAGATTTTGTTGAGGAGACGTTGGGAAACAAATATGTGGTGGGAAGAGCACTTGATTTTGCATCCTCATTTGAAGAATCAGGACCAGCCACTCCCATGTTTTTTATCCTGTCTCCAGGGGTGGACCCACTGAAAGACGTGGAAAATCAAGGTGAGAAAAGCTTTCCTTGGAGCCAAGGCTGGAGTCTTTCATTCTTTGGGGCTGTTGCTTTCTCTTTTCCACATTCAAGGTTCATTGTGCAGTTCTAGACATTTGCAGGCCAGACAAGCCAGAGTCAGTGCTGAAGCAGAGCCATTGCAGAGAAAAGAAGAAAAGCTTTATTTTTAGCTTTTTCTATTGAGAGCTGTGATTCATGTTGAATTGATACTTGCATATAGTGTGAATAAGGGGTCCAACTTTGTCCTTTGACATGTAGATATCTAGCTCTCAGTGCCAATTGTAGAAAAGACTGAATTGTCTTGGATCCCTTGTCAAAATTAAATTGATCAGGGACCAGAGATATGGCTCATCAGTTAAGAGTGCTTGCTGCTCTTGCAGAACACCTGCATTTGGCTCCCAACACCACGACAGGTGGCTCACTACTGCCTGTAACTCCAGCTCCAGGGGATCCAATTCCTCCTTCTGACCTCCATAGGTACTTGATCACATATAGCATACACTCTCACAGATACACATGCACATATATTAAAATAACAATAAATCTTTTTAAAATTTTTAATTAAATTGATTACAAATGTCAGAGCTTATTTTTAGAGTATTCATTCTATTCTGTTGGTCCATGTGTCTGTGTATGCCAAGAACATTCCTGACCCTGGAACTTTGTGACAGATCTTTAAATCAGGAAGTATGAGTCCTCCAACTTTTTTTCTTTACTTCAAGATTGTTTGGACTCTGTGGGGTCTCTTATATTCCCATATAACCTTTAGGAGTAACAGTCAAGTTCTCCAAACACTAAGAAAAGATTTCAATAGGTATTGCTTTGATCATCATATTGATCAACTTAGGAAATGCTGTCATCTTAACAGCATTAAGTGTTCTGACCCATGAAGTTTTGTAACTTAGTTTCTTTTGACAGCATTGTATAGTTTGTAGTGCACATGTCTTACACTTAAAAAATTATTCCTAAGGGTTTTTCATGTTGATTCTGTTGCACACAAAATTATTTCCTTAATTTCAGTTTCATTGGTAGTAAAATTTTATATATTAACTTCTATATAGAAAGCTGGCTGAACTTGTCTATTGGTTCTAGCGTTCTTATTCATGAGTTGCTCAATATTTTCCAGCTATCAAATGTGCACACACGCACACACGCACACACACACACTATTCTCTAAATATAAGACTATGTCATCTGCAAAGTCAAGATTTTTTTACTTCATTTCTAATCCCGGTGCTTTTTAAATTTCTTTTTCTTTCCTAATTGCCCTGGCTAGAATTTCAGAACAATGTTAAATAGAAGTGGCAAATTTGGACATCCTTGTCTTGTTCCTAATCTTAGGAGACAATTTTCAGCCTTCTCCACTGAATATAATGTTAGCTGTGGATTTTTGTAGATATCCTTTGTCAGACGGAGGAAGTTGCTTCTGTTTCTAGCTTGTTACATTTTTTCTTTAATTTTGACTGAGCAATCCACTTCTCCAACCTTGGCTTCAGGATGTGATATTCTCTAGTCCACTTCCTCCACTTCTTTTTTCACTCTTTTCCTCTAAAATTGTTGAGTTCCTGAGTTTTTCAAGTTTTGTTTCAGTTTGGCTTTTCTTCAGAGATTTTTATCTCTTTATTGAATTCTAATTTCATGTTTTGAATTGTTTCAATTATCTCATTCAACTATGTTTCCATAGTCTTCATTCAGTCTTTTATTCATATCCTCTGAGTTCCTTGGACAGATTTATAATTACTATTTTGAAAGTATTATCTTGTGCATGCCCTAGGTTGCCCTTCTAAGGAAACATTGTGATGGGGGTGCTAATTTCCAGAGCAGACATACTATCTTGTATGTTCATGTTATTTGTGTGGTTTTTGGAGGAGACCTAGGTATCTGGACTTGTGTGGTGGTGTTTCTTAGTATTACTCAGTGATCTCATCTTTTTTGAATGTGTTGTTTGTGTATTGTCTGGTTGTCTCTACTGTTTCCCCAACTTGTCAGGTTATGACCCAGCTGAGTAGTGCAGTTTGATGGCCAATTTATGTTGATATGCAAATGGGATGTAAGAAGTGGTCTCAGTTCAACTAGGGATGGGATAGGTGCAGCTTCTGAGTTGAGGTTCCAGGATTGACTCCACACAGTCCTGGATCAGCAGGGTGGGCTACGTGACTGCTCAGCAAGTCTGGAGGAGCATGGAGATCTGAGGCAGGCAAGGATCCCAATGACCCCAGTCTTTTTCTTTAATTTTGAAAACTGTTAGGTTTTGTCAGTGTTTGATCTGCATCTAGTGAGGTGCTAAAATATCTGTTTTTCCTTATTGCATTAATATGATGTTATATTACTTGTTTTTTAATTTTTTAAACCAACCTTGCAGTCTAAGGTCCCAAAAATCCTAAATGTATAATCCTTTTTCTACATTACTAAATTCAAGTCGCTAATATTTTTGTTAGTGATACTGATATGTATGTCCATAGGGGCCATTGATCTGCTTTTTTACTTTATTATTGTCAGGTTTTAGTGTCATAATAATGCTAAGAATCTATTCATTGGGCTGAGTTTGAAAGTATTCCTTCCTATCTTTTGTGAATATTCTGTGAAGGACTGGTGTATCATTCACATTTTTATCATTACGACAAATACTTAAGGTGGCCAACTTCATTAAGTAAAAGACATTTATTTATCTTGGAGGCTGAAAATCCGATAGTTCTCGTGAAAGTTCCACAGTGGATAATCAGGATCATGCATAGGGAGAGAATCACAGAGGCAACAATCCAAGAAGGAAGGAAAGGCCAGTCTTGCATGTGCTAGGGGAACGTTCCCAGAGAGCTCAAGTCTAGGGCACTCAGTGACCCAAGGACCTCCCACTAGACCCCACGTCTTAAAGGTCCCATAGCACCCCACAATAGCAACACCCTGGAAGCCAGGCTTCCAGTCACATGGACCCTTAGGGAAGATGGAAAACAATTATGGAACCTGGCATCCATTCTCATGAATGTTTGGTAGAACTCAGTGATGGAGCCACTAGGCTTGATCTTTGTGAATAGGAATTTCTAAAATTAAGAGTTCAATCTCTTTGCCATTTGTATGTCTATTCCAATTTTCTATTGCTTGTTGAGTAAGTTTTAGTAATTTTTTCTTTCTAGGCCTTTATTTACTTATCTGCTATAGAATGTGTTGGTAAAAACTTTCCAAATTTTGATATTTAAATTAAAATGTTTAGTTCTTCTATAGTATAAAACTAATATTGGATGTGTACATGTGTGTATGCAGGTGTACATGTTTGTGCAGGTCAGAGATCAACCTCAGATGTTATTTCTCAGGAGACATCCATCTTGGGGAGGGGTTGTTTGGGGGGTTTGTGATGTTTGTTTGTTCATTTGTTTGTTTGTTTTGAGACAGGATCTCCCGGTAGCCCCAACTGGCATGGAACTTGCTATGTAGATCAGGCTGGCCTCAATCTCAAAGAGATCCACCTGCCTCCCTCCTCCCAAGTGCTGGGATTAAAGGCATGTGCCACCATGCCTGGCCCCTCTTGTTTTTTGAGACATGGTCTCTTATTGGCCTGGAACTCACAAGTAGTCTAGGCTGACCAGCCAGTAAGCCCCAGATATCCACCTGCCTCTATCTTCCCAACAGCAGGATTACATACATGTACTGTATACATAGATTTTGGGGGGGGGTTCTGGGGCTTGAACTCAGGTCCTCCAGCTTGTCTGGCAAGCACTTTACTGAGATATGTAACCCAGCTCCAAAACTTAATAATTTATTTCTCATGACTTCCCTCTATATAAGATAAGGCTTCCATTTGCCAACTGTGAACCTGTGCTTTTATTTTTACATAATTAAGACTGAAGTCATGGCCATTTTCCCGCTGCTGCCATCATTAATTCTACATGTATCTAATCTAAATGTATTAATACTTAAACTTGAACAACAATAAACAGTTCCTATATCCTAAGTAATATAAATATAAATTCACTTCAGGAACAATGTCTATGATTACATTCTATTTTAAAAATTCATTATTATTAGTGTGTGTGCATGCATACATAATGTAGGGGGTATGCATGCCACTGAAGTATGTAGTGAACAAATCTGTAGATGTACCTTTACTCACTGAGCCATCTGTGCTGGATAGCTTTAGTGTTAACTTGACATACCTGGGGGAGCCTCAGTTGGGGAATTGCCTCCATGGGACTGGCCTGTGGCCATGTCTATGAGGGCATTTTCTTGATTGATGAGTAATGTAGGAGGGCCCAGCCCACAGTGGGTGGTGCCACCCCTGGGCAGGTGGGCCTGTGTTGCGTAAGAAAGCAGGATGAGCAGGGGCCAGGAGAGCAAGCCAGTGAGCAGCATTCCTCCGTGGCCTATGCTCCAGCTCCTGCCTCCAGGTTCCTGCCCTGAGTTCCTGCCTTGAGCTCCTGCATGAACTGTGACCCGGGAGATGTAAGCCAAATAAACCCTTTCCTCCCCAAGTTGGTATTGGTCAGAGTGTTTTGTCACAACAATGAAGAAACAAACTAGGACAGAAGTTGGTACCAGAGAGTAGGATATTTCTGTGACAGGCCTAACTTTGGTGTTTTAAGGAGAACTGTGGAAGCATTTGGAACTTTGGGCTGGAAAAGCCATTGAGTGCTTAGAGTTTGTTGCTGTGGAGCTTGGAACAGTTAGTTGAAAGAGTTGTGGACGATGGAGGCCTGGCTTGTGAAGCTTCAAAGGGAGGCAGAGACTATCAGGGCTATTCGTGTGATATTTTGGATTGAAAATCTGTGGGTTCTGGTGGGCTGGAGTTGAAGAATCAGCTATGACTAAGAAGAGACTAGAACATGAAGCAAAACTTCTGTTTTACTGGGACATTTGATGCTGGTTAGCTGGGGCTGAAAAATCAGCTGTAAGTAACGAGACCAGCATCACTGAGGTTAAATCTTCTGGGAGGTATTTCCTCAGGGTCAGCACACAGAGGGGACCTGAACCTCCATCTCAAGCTGGAAACAGGGCTTGGTAA